GATCAGAAGTGGAGCAGTGAGGACTCAAACTGGTGCCCAAATGTGATACTGACATCACAGGTGATGGCATAACCTACTATGCCACAGCACTGGCCCCAAAAATGTTCCTTTTAATCATGTGTTTTGTTTATGCCCAATAATTTTGATGGCCCTACTCCTTCACTGAACACTCCTGTGTTTTTTCTCTTGATTTAAATAAAATTTGTATTAGCTTTACTTTGTTCACAGGTGGAATTTGAAGCTCATAATTTATTGATCTGAGCGTTGAAGCAGAATCACTCTTTTTGTGTGTATGTAGTTTTGCCTGTGAAACACCAAATTTTAAGTGAAAATTTCAAAATGAATTAAAGTATAACATCAAGTAGTATTTTAAATGTCCAAAGTGTGGTGTGTGTGTATTTTTATTCAAGATAAAGTAATTAAATCTTAAAATACTTAGATGCCTTTGAAATATTAGCTGAGAGAGAGAGAGAGAGAGCACTCTTCCATTCCACCAGTTCACTCCCCAAATGGCCCCAACAGCTGAGGCTGAGCCAGGCCAAAGCCAGGAGCCTTGAACTCCATCCAGGTCTTCCATGTGGGTGGCAGAGGCTCAAGAACTTGTGTCATGGTCCACTGCTTTCCCAAGTGCAGAAGCAGGGAGCTGGATCTGAAGAGAAGCAGCCCAGATTCCAATCTGTACCCATATGGGATGTCAGTGTGGCAGGCGGCGGCTTAACCTGCTGCATCAAATGCCAGTTCCTCCCCCTACCCTGCTCCAATAGCTTTCTGTAAATTATCATTGCAATCTTTCTTATTCTAATTCCAAGTTATGTAATAATCCCATTTTCCTGGTAAATAGAGGGTGGAAACCTAATGGGTCAAAGGTTCCCTTTTATTTAAGCTGATTGAATCTTTTCATTTCCACCTTTAAGAATTTTCTTTAAAGCTATGAAAACATAAATATGGAAAGATTTTAAAATTTAAGAATATACACCACTTAGAAATTACATATATTACACTCTCTAAGAGATTTGTGGAAATTACCATTTTTAAAAAATACGGTATTTTGAAAATTCATTGCATCTCAAAGACAGCATTTACCTCCAGTTAGCATCTTAAATATTTGGATTAATATTCTATGTTATACCCCTTATAATTTCCTCTTAGCCACTTAAATTGTTTGCTATTAATTTAGAATTTGTTTCACTTCAAACTTCTTTGATTTTTCCCATATACTGAGGAGAATTATTTACTAGGCAAATTAACAGTGTAAATGAGATTTTCTTTGGCTCACCTAAGGGGCCAAATTGCTTTCAAGAATGTAAGTGGTACCGTTTTCATACATAAAATTAATGTATAGATGACACTCGTTTAACATGCAAGTGCGGTCTCTACTTTAAAAACTAAGTAATCAGATTATTCTGTGCTTTGAAACCAGACAAACTGCTTTCACTTTGAAATACTGACTAGTGCAAGTCACTAATTCATGATGTCCTCTAACCTATTATCCATCGACCTTTGATCAAATGTTTCCATGCACTGAGCATCCTTTTCTTTAACTTTTATTATATTATGACTTCTTTAAATGCTTGTCTCTTCTTTCTCTCTGTTGACCCTAAGGCCAAAGTAAGCAGGTGTTACACAATACTGAGCTGCACTAGGATGGGGGAAATCAGTAAGGTACTTTCCACTGGGAATACCCCATGATCTGGTGCCAGTGTGTTCCAATTCATAACTTAAGACAATAACCAATTGTCTGTTTCTGCCATATTCCACAGGCAGTTTTCTAAGGTTGATTTTTTTTTTAAGTTTCCTAGGGTTTGATGGGCTTCTCTTTGTCATCTGTTGTAATCTTTTTCATTTATTTTTAGTTAGGATTTATTTTGATCAGGAGTACTTCAAGGACAAATGTAAAACTATCTAATTGAAAATTACTCACGTAATTTTTCCATTTCCACATGCTTTGTAGTTAGTGAAAAAGTCTTTTTATCTATATCTTACAGTAGCAAGATATGAATTTTATGATTTTTCAAATGGAATTTTAATAATTACCAATAAAGAATGTAAATGTGATTATATCAAAATAAAATTATCTTTAAAATTTAAAATATGCTGTTTCATTTTTATTCTATATTGATATTGTCATTTTTCATTACAGATTTTTGTTCAAGTTCTTGGAATTTATCGTACCAAAATTAAAATTCAAGCAAATTAGTAACTAGGCGAGACCAGGTAGAAATGATAAATGAAATAGTTTTTTGAAATATTTGGTATGTTTTTTACATAGACATTAAAGTAGTGTGCAAACAATATGAAAAGCTGTTTTATGGGGCTGTTTTATTAGGAACTCAGTAATTTACCTCTTGTCATTGGTACTTCTTTGTTCTCTGTTATGCTTCAGGTTATCTTACATGTCTTAATTAGATAAACTTTTATTCATCTGCCTAGAACCACATTAAGGTGAAAGGGAAACTGATAGATGTACTTATTATATGAGTTGAAGTGTTTGAGACTATTTTTCCTGAATAATACTGGGTTTTTGAGTACTAGTAATGTCATTCTGTTATTGTTGTACAGTTGCAATACAATGGGGCATTGTAGCAAACTCCTGGAGAAACTGAATGACCACAGAGAAATGACTTGCAAGATCTAACACTGGACCTATCCAAAACAAGGGGCGCTTATTACCCAATCTCTCTGTGACACAAAGCTCTTAGTGATTTGCTCTTAAATAGAAAAGGGCAGCCAGAATTACCCTTTGTGGGTGGAAACTCTCAACCATGAATTAGCGGTATGAGAGTACAGGAACCTGGGGGAGGTAGACATAATGCAGGGAGCAGCAGAAAAATTGCAGCAAACTTTGATTAGTAAAAGATGTGGCATCTGGAAAACAAGAAGAGAATAGTGTAAAAAGGAAAACTGGAACATGAGCACTGAGAAATTTAAACTGTAATCTGAATTAAAGTTCTTTAGATAGAAGAGTTGGAAGATTCATGGGTCTTCAAAATGTTCATGGAAAATGCATATCATGAACTAATTATGGATAGATTTCAAATATTTTTGCAACAGAATAAATTTATCTCTTAAATCCTTTCTCTGCGATTTTTTTTAAAATACCCTCATGTACTCAAGTAAACTTTCTAAGAAATAGAACAAAAGGGCAAAGTTGGAAAATAAGAGAGAAAATGCTTAGATTAATCCAGTAGTTTTAATATTTAGAGAAGAGTCCCCAAAAGAGAAAAATAGTTAAAGAAGCAATACAATGTAGCGGGTAAAGCCACTGCCTGCAGTGCTGGTGCCGGGCGCCGGTTTGAGGCCTGACTTCTCTTCTTTGAATCCAGCTCTCTGCTATGGCCTGGGAATGCAGCAGAAGATGGCCCAAGTCCTTGAGCCGCTGACCCATGTAGGAGACCCAGACAAAGCTTCTGCCTCCTGACTTTGGATCTGCACACCTCTGGCCTTTGTGACCATCTGGGGAGTGAACCAGTGGATGAAAGATCTCTCTCTCTGTCTCTGTCTCTGTCTCTGTCTCTTCTCTGTCTCTGCCTCTCTGTAACTCTGCCTTTCAAATAAATAAATAAATCTTAAAAAAAAAAAAGCAGCAGCAACAATACAAAAAAAGTCTCTGGATTGTACCTTATACAAAAATTTAAAGATCCAATCCAAGTTATTGATAATATATTTATTATTTATAATAGTAAATTTTATTTATTTATAACAAATTTAATTATTTTAATACTATAATATTCATGCATTTTAAAAGCATCAAGAATAAAAATTTTTTAAATTTTATTTACTTATTTAATTTTATTTACATTATTACAAATTTCATTTATTCCATACATACGGACTTAGGAACATAGTGGTACATCCCAGCCTGCTCTAATCTCAAGAGTGCTGGAGGCGAATCTAATGAAGCATGCTACATTGCCAGTTTTAAAAAAATGCAAAATTCTGATAATATTTTTCCACTTGGAATGCACTGTATAACTGTACTGTCAACAGTTTGGGTAGATTCAGACACTTGCAGATTTACTAAGAGTAGTAGCAACATATCCCTGGCTTAATCAAGAACTAACAAGAAGGAATTAAAAGAAAGAACACCAAGACAGCAACATCCAAGGATAACAGCCAGTTAATAATAAAAGCAACACATACTCAAAGTAGAAATGTCATTTCATTTCCAGGGGAAAAAAAAAGAATTGATGAATTATATAATACATTTGGGTTTAAAAATTAGTATTTCTTCAAAGATCGCTTGTTTGAAAGACAGTGACAGAGAGAGACAGAGAGATCTGTTAGCTGATTCACTCCCCAAATGGCCACAACAGCCAGGAGTCAGGAACTCCATCCGGGTCTCCCACATGGGTGGCAGGAACTCAGTGCCTAATCCAGCGTCTGCAGCTTCCCTAACAGCAGCTCAACTGGCTGCACCGCAGCGCTGGCCCCTGGTTTTGGTTTTGGTTTTTTGATAGGTCTGGTGGGAACTTGTGAAAAACACTAACATAGGTACATGGAATATGGAGCAAATATTTTTAAGAGGGGCAATTGTTCACTCTAGGAAAAATTATACATTATGGGAAAATATAACTTGATGGTATACTAGTTGGCGCTGCAACAAACCATGTATATAGTAATAGCAATGGAAATGTTAGTTAAACTGACAAGTGTGCAGTGAACATGTTGAGTATTGAGGAAGGACAGAATAGTTTAAGAGCTATATCTTCATTTCACATAATAGATATTGCCTAAAAATCAGTAAATCCGTAAATAGCAAAAATAACCATCTACTTTAAAATACAGAGGAAAGAACAAAGAAACATATAAAATAGTTTAAAAGGTATGTTACTGAGGATGACATGAGGTCACTGTATTTCATTATAAGCTTTTAGTATTTAGGGCTTTTAAGGACAATCTGCAAGAGTCTTTCTTTAAAAATGGTATTGAATATGCCAGGGAAATAGCATAATTATGACCTGTATTCACCTTTTCACATTTTTGTCTTGTTATTTTTCTAGAGTTCCTGGAATAACTATTGCCACAGATATTATCTGTGGTTTTCCTGGAGAAACAGATCAGGATTTTCAAGAAACAGTGAAACTTGTTGAAGAGTACAAATTTCCAAGCCTCTTTATTAACCAGTTTTACCCAAGACCAGGAACCCCTGCTGCAAAAATGGAACAGGTTCCAGCACACATGGTAAGATATTTTCTTGTAAGGTATTATTTTTTGCCAATAGCTCGAAAATTGCATTTGTGTTGCTCACATTAGCACAGCTTTCTCATGGTATAACCCTTAACTTACAAGGTACAGGGAGATTTCCAAATTGGTGTCAGGAGCTAGGGTGACCTTGGAGAAGTTAAATGACCTTAAGCTACTAAAATACTACCTTTTTCTTCTTTTGAAGGGTGAGGCTCAGCTGGCATTGGGGAAAAAGGCTAAATAGTATTTACCTGTGTGTATGCGGACACTTCAAAAAGTTTTTGGAAAGTGGAATTAAAGGATAAATTTGTTTTGGTGCAAAAAAAAAATTTAAATCCATGCATATGTATTAGAATAAAATGACTCAAAATAAATGTGTGGAGCTGGTATGGCACAGCAGGTTAAACCACGGCTTCTGATGCCAGCATCCCATGTCAAGGTGCTGGTTCGAAACCCAGCCGCTCTGCTTCCAATCCAGCTTCCTGCTGATGGGCTTGGGAGGGCATTAGATGATGACTCAAGTTCTTGGGACCCTGTTACCCTTGTGGAAGAACCAGATGGAGTTCCTGGCTCCTGACTGACCTGACCTAGACACGGCCATTGGGTCATTTGGGAAGTGGACCAATGAATGGAAGGTTCTCTCTGTCTTGGTCTCTGTCTTTTTCTCTCTATCTCTCTGCCTTTCAAATAAATGAGTACAAATCTTAAAAAAAAAAATAATAATAAGGCAGGAAGTAGGAGACGGAGGGAACGTTAACAGTGCCACAAAGTCCCTGTGATACCGTTAATGGATTTCTGCCCTCTCCCATTCCCCAAAGGAAACAGCTATCCCTCCTGCTGACACTAAGTATCCATTTTCCCTGTTTTAAACTTTGACAAAATTGGAAGAATTCACCCTGTTTTTTGTTGTTGTTTTCCTCAGTGTTATGTTAGTGAAACTAGCCTGTATTTTTCATGGTATCTCATTTACTATTTTCATTGGTATGTAGGATTGTATATGTGCATGTATCACAGTTTTGTCCATTCTGCCATTTAAAAGGAATTGGGTATTTTCAGTGTCCTGATATTAGTATTGCAACTAATCAGCTTTTTGTGTTCTGTGCTAGTCATGTGTAGACATTTCTGCCGGGAGGTTAATTGCTGGGTCATAGAACTTTGTATTGAACTGCTTCACTAGATACTGCCAAATAGTTTTTTCAAATAGTTGAATAAATTTGCAGTTGCAATGTATAAACATACTAGTCACTCCATATCCTCACCAACACTTACCAGTATTGTGTCTTTAATGGTAGCCCTTCTGATGGATAGGCAATGTATCTTAACTGTGATTTTTCATTTCCCTGCCAACTAATGACACTGAGTACAACAGTGTGTGTGTATTGGCCATTTGAATATCCTTTTTCAGGAAGTGCCTGTTCAAATCATTCACCCATTTACCTATTGGCTTGGCAGTTTGACTTACTCTCCATTCTGATGAATAGGGGTTACTTAGGTATTTTGGGTACAAACCTTTTTTGTAGGTCATAGTAATTCTCACATTCTGTAACCTATCTCCTCATTCTTATCATGGTACCTTTTGAAGAATATGCTTAATTTTAATATGATAGAACTTAGTAGTACTTTCCTTGTGGTTAGTGGTTTCCGTGTCCTGTTTAACTTTCCCATACCATCATGAAGATGCCCCTCAATGTACTGTTCTAGAAATCTTATCGTTTTCCCTTTTACCTCTAGAGCTATGGTAAGGTTGCAGTTTATTTAAGGTATGGGGTGTATTTGGATTGGGTTGGGGGAAAATTAAGATTGGTTAATTGGTTTTCCATGAAGATATCCATTTGAGTCAATTCCATTTATTCAAACTCTCATTCTTGGGGCCCATCTGCACTGTGGCACAGTGGATTAAACCACTGTTTGTAACTTCAGCAACCCATATCAGATGCTGCTTCAGGTCCTGACTACTCCATTTCCAATCCAGCTTTCTGCTAATGAGCCAGGGAAGTGGTAGGAGATGGCCCAAGTGCTTGGGCCCCTGCCACTCTTGTGGGAGACCCGTATGGAGCTCCTAACTTTAACCTGGCCCAGGACAAAGTTGGGCCCGCTGTGGCTATTTTGAGAGTGAACCAGCAGATGGGAAATCTTTCTCTGTCTCTCCCTCTCTTTCTGTCACTTTGCCTTTTAAATACATATGTACATACATACATATATCTTTTTAAAAACTTGTTCTTTGCTTACTGCTCTGCCTGGTCATCCTATTCAAATCCTATACAGATCAAGTGTAAAACAGATGTGCACTTAGCTGTTGATACTGGCAGCATAAATATTTCAACTTTTTTTCTTGAAAATCTTGCTAACTATTCTTGTTCCTGTGCTCTTGCAAATATGTAGTTTTAGCAAAAATCTCGCTGGAATTTTCATTAAAATGTAATAGTGACTTAATTGATCATTTGGATGGAAGCTGACATCATGACAGTATCAAGTTTTCTGTCCTTGAATGAAATAGCATTTGTTTATTTTGATCTTCTCTGACTTCTGTCAGTAATGCTTTGTAGTTTTCTCTGTACACGTCTTACACATCATTTATTAGATTTATTCCTACATGTGTGTTCTCTTTGATACTGTTGAAATTTTTGGTTTTCATTTTTAGTTGCTCTTTAGATTTAAATATATTGAATATTTACTTCTGTTATTTACAATGCTAATAGTTTTTTTTAGTTTTTTTTTCAGATTTCCTACGTATACAGTTTTGTCATCTAATAATTACAGTTTTATTTTTTTCCTTCCCAATCCTTGTAATTGTTATTTTTTTTTTATTGTCTGGCTTGAATGCTCAGGGCACCACTGAATAGAATTGGGCATCTTTGCCTTCCCACCTTTGACCTTCCATTTATTCTTATTCTGTGAAATCCATCTTTGGAATTTCTCATTTTTGTTCTTTTTTTTTTACTTCTAGAATTATGATTTGATTCTTTTTCATAGATTCCATTATTCTAGTTAAAATTCTCCATATTCTCCTTTCTATTTCTGAACATATTATTCTGTTCTCTGAACATTCTAATTTCTCCAATATCTGAATCTCGTTCCTCATTGCCTTCTTTCGTTGTGGTTTGTTTGTTCTTTGTTTTTTGTTTTCGCGTCTGGTCTTTTGTTATCTCTCTCCATGTCCTTGGTAATTTTTCACTGAGTGATGACCATTGCTTATCAGGTAAAACAAAGTAACCCTGTAGATTCCACAGCACAGGGAGGGCCCTAAGGTAAGTACTGACTGTTTTACCCTGTCTTGGGTTGATTTCTGAAATGGTTTCTCTGTCTTTCTGACATTGGTTTATTTCTACGTTGGCCGTATTCTGTGTGCTGGCAAGTAGTGAACAACTGCCTCTCCGAGGAAAGGGTCCTGTCGTGCAGCGTTGCCAGTTCCCTTGATGCAAACAAGTGCGCTGTTGCCAGTTTCAAACCCCCAGTGCCACACCCCTGGACATAGAATTGGCTTGAGCTGCTACGAGCTGTGTCTAACATACCACCAGGTGTAGTTCTTCTGGGTCCCGACTGGAACTGTGAGGTGTTTCCCAAGGCCTTTTCTTCATGGCAGGTCTTCAGCTGCTTCCTGCTCATCCTACCTGGCGCTGGACAGTGCAGAGGGGTTCGGCATAGGTTTTCCATTCCTCTCTCTCTCTCATGCTTCTAAACTAAGAAGTAGCTTTTTATGTACATGTACATTATGTTTAGAATATCCTGTACATATATGTACATGCATACAAATACGTATTTTTAAAAAATATAAAACATCACACATATTGCTCTGCGAGTTACTCTTTTCCATTACATAAAATATTATAGACATCCCTCCCAGTCAGTACATAAATAGGCCCAACCCAGCTTTTCAGTAGCTAGATAATATTCCATGGTAAGGCTTAATATGTTTTATTCACCTATTCCCGTAGTCCAGCTTTCTCCTGTCACTTGAACTAGTGTCACAGTAAAAAGTTTTCTGTGTGCGTCCTGATTTGTTGGTGCCTTTATTGCTCTACGTAAGGTAAATTGGGATTTCTGGATAAAAGAGATGTATTTTTATGTGTTTGTTTTTGCTTTATTTGAAAAGTAAAGAGAAATATCTTTCATCTGCTAATTCATTCCCCATTTGCTTGTTACAGCAGAGACTGGAACTCAGCGGGGTCTCCCAAGTGATGACAGGGACCAAAGTACTTAACCCATCACCCGCTGTGTCCCGCAGTAGCAGAAAGCTAGGATCAGAAGTGGAGCTGAAACTTAAACCCAGGCACTCTGATATGGAATATGGACATCAAAGTGGTGTCTTAACACTGTGTCAAAGACCCAGCCCAAAGATGTATTCTAATGTTAATTCATCTATCTGCCTGGCAACTTTCCCCAAAACTTACTGTGATTTCTATGCTCTGATTCCCATTTGTTATCAGGTTAGATGGTATTGTCTCCTTTTTTTTTTTTTTTTTTTTTATTTATTTGTTTGTTGGAAAGTTAGAGTTGCAGAGAGAGGAGTGAGAGAGGTAGGTCTTCCATCCACTGGTTCACTCCCCAGACAGCTGCAATGGCTGGGGCTGGACCAGGTTGAGGCCGGAGCCAGGAGCTTCTTCCAGGTCTCCTGAATGAGTAGCAGGGACCCAGGTACTTGGTCCATCCTCGGCTGCTTTTCCCAGGCTGTGAGCAGGGAGTTAGATCGGAAGTGGAGCAGCTGGGACTTGAGCTGGAGCCCGTATGGGATGCTGGCATTGTGGGCAGTTTTACCCACTGTGCCACAATGCCAGTTTAATTTTGCCAGTCTGGTGGGTGAACAATGCCATTTTGCTACCTAATCTATTTGTATGTTCATTGTTTCCAGCTATTCATTTTAAAATAAAATTTCCTCTTTAGTGAGTGTCCTAACCATATTGTTTACTCATTTAATCAAGTTATTCACTTTTTTTTTCTACCAGTTTATTTGAGTTCTTTAACAGAGAAAGGAACCATTGTGAGTTGCAAAAAACCTA